TCATCTGAAACCTTATGAAAATTTCTCTAAACCATTTTTAAAACTTTTTTGAAGCATTCTGAAAAACATCATATGAAACTTTTTAAAATCATTATCTAAAGCCTTACTTTGGAAGTCTTCTGAAAACCCATCTGAAGTCTTCTGAAAACCCATCTGAAGTCTTCTGAAAACCAATCTGAAGTCTTCTGAAAACCCATCTGAAGTCTTCTGAAAACCCATCTAAAGTCATTTGAAAACCCATCTGAAGTTTTCTGAAAACCCATCTAAAGTCTTCTGAAAACCCATCTAAAGTCTCCTAGTAACCCTAATTAAAGTTTCTGAAATTTATGAAAACTTTCACTCAAAGCCTTCTAAGAACTTGTCTGAAGCAGTATGGAAATTTTCATTCAAATCCTTGGAAAATTCTTCTGACAAGAACAACTGTTTGTACCTGATAGATTTTGATTAGATTTGGTTTGATTTTTTACCAACACTTTATAACCTGCTAAATCTTGTATGTGTTGAAAGGGCGATAAGCTATATGGCTATGCACACTACTTGTATATCAATGTGGTTGTTGAATTCCTTGTATCACACGAACTACTCATGTGTTTAATCTGTAAATGTGTAGTGATGAAGTTTTTTTTATTTTCAAAGTTGCTTTAATATTTGAATCCACTTTGTAGAATGATTGACTCCCGAGTGCGAAGCACAAAATGGGAGTCTTTGTGGTTCGTGCATCTGTGTGTATGTCTGTCTGTTTGTGTCTGTGAATCATGTGCATGTGTTTACTTGTAAATATAAATGACAAAGTTAAATCTATGATCAAAATATTCTGTATTTCATGTCTCCAATACCTCTTCTGCACATGGGAGTTCTTTTACTTATAGTGCCTGAATAAATTAAATTGTTAACCTTAATTATTATTATGCTTATTATAGGATCATGGAAGTAGCAGCTCTGGAAGTAGCAGCTCTAAAAGTAGCAGTCATTCTCGTGGAAGTAGCTCTGCAAGTGGTCATAGGAAAAAAAAAAGTGGATCAGGCAGTGAATCAGGAAACCCTGGTAACAGTGGTAATAATGGGTGTAACGGTGTGGGTAATCCTCACTGTGAAGACTCTGGGAGTAGTAGCACGTCTCGAGAGAGTGGTGGAAGAAGTGGCTCTCGTTGTGCAAGAAGGAATAGTGGTAGTCGAAGTAGCAGTGAAAGTGGCAGTCCAAGTCGCAGCAATAGCGGAGAGGAATGCGACAGCAGTATGTTAGATCTTTGTGGGTGTCGTTCTGGTTCCTCATCAACTTCTGGAAGTGCTGACTGTGATGATTGGTGCCTATATCTATATGAATGTGATTGTGCAAGTGGTGGGAGGAGTAGGAAAAAGTCCTCATCGAGAGGGTCAACTGAAAGTGATGATGATGACTGTGATAACTGGTGTTTTCAGCAAATTGATCAAAATGTTTGTTTGAGTGACAGCGGCAGTCAAAGTCGGAGGAGTGGCAGCGGCAGTCAAAGTCGCAGTCCAAGTCGCAGCAATAGCCGAGAGGAATGCGACAGCAGTATGTTAGATCTTTGTGGGTGTCGTTCTGGTTCTTCATCAACTTCTGGAAGTGCTGACTGTGATGATTGGTGCCTATATCTATATGAATGTGATTGTGCAAGTGGTGGGAGGAGTAGGAAAAAGTCCTCATCGAGAGGGTCAACTGAAAGTGATGATGATGACTGTGATAACTGGTGTTTTCAGCAAATTGATCAAAATGTTTGTTTGAGTGACAGCGGTAGTCAAAGTCGGAGGAGTGGCAGCGGCAGTCAAAGTCGCAGTCCAAGTCGCAGCAATAGCCGAGAGGAATGCGACAGCAGTATGTTAGATCTTTGTGGGTGTCGTTCTGGTTCTTCATCAACTTCTGGAAGTGCTGACTGTGATGATTGGTGCCTATATCTATATGAATGTGATTGTGCAAGTGGTGGGAGAAGTAGGAAAAAGTCATCATCCAGAGGGTCAACTGAAAGTGATGATGATGACTGTGATAACTGGTGTTTTCAGCAAATTGATCAAAATGTTTGTTTGAGTGACAGCGGTAGTCAAAGTCGGAGAAGTGGCAGCGGCAGTAGCAACACAAATTCCAACTCTCGAAGTAATTCTAACAGCTGTAGTTGTGGTAGTGGAAATGGAAGAAGAAGATCTAGTACTGCTAGTGATGAAGAATGTGTATGCAGTGAGTCAGAGAGTCAAGAGAGTCAAGAAGAAGTACCAATCACTGTAGGTTAATATACAAATCTAAGTACGACCAGAGGTACATTACTTGGGGTTTGCAACTACGGTGACATGATACCAAGATCCCGCTCTCGCATAAGCGTTCCAACTCAAAAAAAATGCGAATGCGCATGCCTGAGGTAACTAGGATACTGGGATGTCCAGATGGATCAAAATAGCTGCTCACGACATGACGGATTACGATAACTATATTTTGTATACATTTTCGATGTATTACATTTTTTCACTATGAATGTGGTAATACATATTTTATTGTTTTATTACAAACCGCCCATGTTATGTCAGAAGATCGTAGCATCAGTCTCGCTATCTACGAGATGAGACTTGAATGGGATCTTGGCATGATGTCACCATACAGTACTATGCGCGTTGCAAACCCCAAGTAATATACCTCTGGTACGACTTATTAATTTGAAAGTATTCAGCCATGAACTAGATCCAGTTGTAACGGCATTTACAATTTATGCTTGTTATACATGACACTTACTGGCTAAATAATTTAATACAGTACTGTAAAATACTTTTTCTGGGTGTTTTGCATGGATTTTATTTTCACTGATTTTTGACCAGTTGAATGTAAAATATAGGAACAACGGTATATTTGCTGGATTTTATTTTCACTGAATCATCCCTTCAGCGAAAATAGCGCAAATTAATTCCAAGCGAAAATAAAGTATTCTACAGTATCTGTTCAACCTAAAATTTGCTCATACGTTGCAGTTTCGGAACATGCTCAAAATAACTATCCTAGGAGCAATGAAATGTTCCATAATAATTATTATTATGAAAAAAATAAA